GCCTGGGCCCTGGATGTAGCTAGTGCTCAGGAAACAGGGCAAGATGTTTAGGGTTTTTTTTTCTTTTTTTTATTGTAGTGAAATACATGTAGCATAAAATAGGCTATTTTAGCTATTTTAAACTGTACATACAATTCAATGACATTTAGTACATTCACAGTGTTGTGCAACCATCACCTGTATCTAGTTCCAGAACATTTCCATCATCCCCAAAGGGCAACCTTGTACCCGGCTGCAGTCACTCCTCGTTTCCCCCTCCCCCGCTCCCCAGCAACCACTAATCTGCTTTCTGTCTCTATGCATTTACCTGTTCTGGACATTTCACATACATAGAATCATACGCTATGTGGGACCACTGGGGAATTCCCTGTGTCTGGCTTAAGGTTGATCCACATGGTAGCATGTGTCAGTGCTTCATTCCTTGTTATGGCTGAATAATATTCCATTGTATGGTTGGACCATATTTTGTTTTATCCACTCATCAGTTGATGGACGTTTGGGTTGTTTCCACTTTGGGGCAATTGTGAATAGACCTGCTATGCTGGGTGTTATATTATAGCCTCATCAGCTTAATTTGAGTTCCTTCCTTTGTTTATAATTTGATTTAAAAACCTGCACTGCTTATGGGTCTGGGCCCCAGGCAGGAAACCCCAGCTGTGGCCCCTTGGTAGCCAGGCCGCTCTGAGCCTCAGTTTCTCCACCTGTACAGTGGGCTAAAGACTCTACGTCTTGGGCTTCCCTGGTGGCGCAGTGGTTGAGAATCCGCCTGCCGATGCAGGGGACACGGGTTCGTGCCCCGGTCCGGGAAGATCCCACATGCCGCGGGGCGGCTGGGCCCGTGAGCCTTGGCCGCTGAGCCTGCGCGTCCGGAGCCTGTGCTCCGCAATGGGAGAGGCCACAGCAGTGAGAGGCCCACGTACCGAAAAAAGAAAAAAAAAAAAGACTGTACGTCTTTAGAGATGTGGTAAGTAAGCATCTGAGGAAGTGACTCAGGGAAGTGTCAGGCATGTAGGAAACACTCAAATAAGCCGTCCCCCACAAATGCGGTTGTTGTTACTGTTTTTTTGTTTCTGTTTTTTTTTTATGATGTGGACCATTTTTTTTTTTCAGGTACTATCTGAATTTATTGAAGGGCTTCTTAATCTAGGGTTTGTGAACTTGCATGGGAATAAATTACATCTTTATTTTCACTAATCTCTAACTGAAATTTGGCATGTTTTCCAATTGTAATATAAGCAACAAATCACAGCAATAGCATGACCTTGACTTTGTCACCAATACAAATCATGGATTTTTCACGTCACGCTGGAGTCGTTGTAAAATATCTTTCAAGTTCAAAACCACTTCAAAATTATGGTACTTATGAGACCTGCTAGATCTTGTTATTTAATGCATTGCTAAAGAGCCACGTATAGTACCATATTGCTGGTTTAAAAAATATTCTAATATTATTTTAATATAATCAGCCTCACTTGCAACCTGACCTATTTCATTTGATGCATTTAAAAATACTACTCTGAGGGCTTCCCAGGTGGCACAGTGGTTGCAAGTCCATCTGCTGATGCAGGGGACACGGGTTCGTGCCCCGGTCCGGGAAGATCCCACATGCCGCAGAGCGGCTGGGCCCGTGAGCCTTGGCCGCTGAGCCTGCGCGTCTGGAGCCTGTGCTCCGCAGCGGGAGAGGCCACAGCAGTGAGAGGCCCGCGAACCGCAAAAAAAAAAAAAAAATACTACTCTGAGAAGAGGTCTGTAGGTGTCACCAGTTTGCCAAAGGGGCTCATGTACAGAAATCCATGCTTGTCATGATGGTAGCAGCTCCTTCCTCAGAAGCCTCAAGGTCCAGAGCTCTGCCCAGAACTCCCCTTCGGATGTGGACCATTTTTTAAAGTCTTTATTGAATTTGTTTCGATATTGCTTCTGTTTTCTGTTTTGGTTTTTTGGCTGCGAGGCATGTGGGATCTCAGCTCCCTGACCAGGGATCGAACCCACACCCCCTGCGTTGGAAGGCGAAGTCTTAACCACTGGACTGCCAGGGAAGTCCCGTTACTGTTATTTTTAATTGCTTCCCAGGTCTACAGCAGCTCTGAGTTCCTGGCCGCCCAGCCCACTCCAACCTTTGCTGAACGGAGCTTCAGTGAGGACCGGGAGGAAGGGTGGGAGCGCAGCAGTGAGGGGGACTATGGGCGCCGGCTGAGCACCACCGAGGTCCGGTAGGTGGGCTGGGGAGTATAAGCAGATCCAGCTTCCAAACCTGCTGAGAGGTGGAGCCACAAAGTCTTAACATTGGAAAGAGCTTCCCAGTGGCCCAGTAGAAAAGGGTAAAACATATTGGCCAGCCTGTCGACCCCTGCCAACCTGTCCCCTATCATCACTCCCTTTGGCTTTGCATTCCTAACCACACTAAACCTAAAGCAGCCATGTACCATCACACTGCTAGGCTTTTGCTTGTGCTGTTTCCTCTGCCCAGAATACCCTTTGCTCATGAAGCCCCTTTCATCTTTCAGTGTCCAAACTCACAGAAATAATCAACGTCTGCTAGAGGATGGGCATTGGAAGCTGGGTTTTAAAAACTGAATAGGAGTTTTCTGGGCAGTCACAGAGGACAGAGCAGGCAGAGGGAACTCACCTTATATTTACAAATTACTTCTGACTCTAGGCTGAGAGTTAAGGTACGGTCACTAGGGGAGACTGGGTGTCCTGGGGTGAGGGCACCTGGCAGGTGTGACTCAGGCTCTTCCCTGCTACAGGCTCAGGTCCTGCACATCCTCCGGTTCCTCCTGCCACTTATCCTTTTCCCAGCCTGAGCGGGGCCCTAGCCCATCTTTCCTGAACACCATCAACCTGGACACGATGCCCAAATTTGCCTTCTCATCAGAGGATGAGGGAGTCGGCCCAGCTCCTGTGGGCCCCAAAAGGCCCGTCTTCATTCTAGGGGAGCCCGACCCACCCCCAGCAGCCACCTCAGTGATGCCCAAGCCCTCAAGCCTTTCTGGTAGGTGGAATCCAGGGTGGGAGGGATGGTGTCATGGAGAGTTTCCCACAGGAGGGACTATTTGAGATGGGTTTTGAAGGATGAGTAGGAGTTCTCTAGAGACAACATTCACTTGTGTAACAAAGGCCTCAGTCTGAGGGTGATACCCCCCAGCTTCATTGGATTAGGATGGGAGAGAGGAATTGAACTGGGGAGCTCCAAGAGTGGGAGTTAGGGATCTGACTGGGGTGAGGGGAAGGCTTCTTGAAGTAGGGGACTTGAAGAGTGGAGCTCCCCAGGGAGAGCAGTGAAAGAAAGGTGTGCAGGAAGAGGGAATGCCTGAACAAAGGCCAGGAGGCTGGGCTGTGTACACACCGACCAGGGAGGAAGGGGCTTTGCCTTCTGAGGGCAGAAGGGCCAAGTGGTGAGATGGGGGAGGGGCAGACTGACCCCCCAACCCTGCTGATACCCGTAGCTGACACAGCTGCCCTCAGCCACGCGCGCCTACGAAGCAACAGCACCGGTGCACGACACTCTACGCCGAGGGCCCTGGATGCCGGCCGGGGCCGCCGCCTTGGGGGCCCGAGAGACTCAGCCCCTGAGAAATCCAGGACCTCCCCCAGCGGGGGTCGCGTGCCCAAGTCAGCCTCAGTGTCTGCCCTGTCGCTCATCATCACGGCAGGTGACGCCCATGGCCCAGCCTCATCTTTGCTTGTCTGTCCATGTCCATTTTAACCACGGAGTAGGGGCTGCTTTGGCCAACGGGAGCTGGAGGGGGTCCCTCCAGGTGATGTGTCCCCGGGCACAAAGCTCCCAGGGCTGCTCTTCGGGGCTGAGCCCAGGAGATAGGAAGCAGCTGGGGAACTGGCATTCCGGGCAGTGGGCACTACATGTGCAAAGGCCTGGAGGGGAAGGGGGAGGGTGTCTGGGGCATTGGAGTGGCAGCAAAGCAGCCAGAGTGATCAGTGTGGGGACTTCCCTGGTGGTCCAGTGGTTAAGACTCTGAGCTTCCACTGCAGGGGCACAGGTTCGATCCCTGGTCCGGGAACTAAGATCCCACATCCTGCGCCGTTCGGCCAAAAAACAAAAACAGAAACAAACTGACTGATCGGTGTGGAGGGAGGGGAAGGTGCCTTGTGAGGGGACCCACAAGGGAGTGACCCCCCTCCCTGAACCTCATCCCTGCAGATGACGGTAGCGGCGGCCCCCTCATGAGCCCCCTGTCCCCACGCTCGCTGTCCTCAAACCCGTCGTCCCGCGACTCCTCTCCAAGCCGAGACCCTTCCCCCGTGTGTGGCAGCCTGCGGCCCCCCATTGTCATCCACAGCTCGGGCAAGAAGTACGGCTTCAGCCTACGGGCAATCCGCGTCTACATGGGTGACAGTGACATCTACACCGTGCACCATGTCGTGTGGGTGAGTTGACCCTGGGATGGGCGGGAACAGCCAGACCTGGTTTGAGTCGCAGCTCTGCCCTGGCAAGGCGCTTCCCTTTTGGAGCTGCATTTGTTAGTCTTGGAAAGCAAGCGAGTACTCATTGCCTATGAGGTTTTGGAGCCCAGGGCAGGGAACTGATGCCACCTGTGTCTTAATGGTCCTTGTCAGTTATGGGGAGAGGACTGGGCAAGAGGGATGGAGACCTCAAGTGGGCACAAAGCTCCCGCACAGTGTTTTGTCCTCCCTCCCCCAGCCCAGGACCTGTCCCCTCCCTACTGGTCTCTGAAAGGTCTGGGAAACCAGGCAGTGTGAAAGGCAGCAGCTTGCTGGGGGCCTGTAGCTGACTCAGCTGGGCTGGGGTCTCTAGCTCTGGGGCCCAGGGCACTGACCCCGCCATCTGCCCCCACCCCCAGAGTGTGGAGGAGGGAAGCCCTGCCCAGGAGGCAGGCCTGCGGGCCGGGGACCTCATCACCCACATCAACGGGGAGTCGGTCCTGGGGCTGGTGCACATGGACGTCGTGGAGCTACTGCTGAAGGTGCAGGCCCCCGACCCCACCCCTGCCTCCACCCCAGAGCCTCCACCCCTGTCCATCCTCAGGGCCCCTGGATCTCCCAACACTGCCCACCCTCTGGGCTGCTCCTCTGGCCTGCTCCCGATTCTGTGTGGTTCCCCCAGTCCAACCATACCACTCCACATTCGGCCCTGCATGCCCCGTCCCCTCTGCCTCAGAGCCACTCCTCCAGGAAGCCCTTCCTGCCCCCTGGGTGCCCCTTCTCCTGACCTTCCCTCTGGCCCACCCTGACTCTGTGGGGCTGGAGGTATCTGTACCGTCTTGGCCTCCTGCCTCCCCTCAGACCAAGGGTCCTCAGGGGCTGAGGCCTAGAGGCGGGGAGGTGGACACAGGTGAGAAGGCAGACCCCTAGTTGGAAAGCTCCTGGGACCAGTGGGTGGGTAGATGGCTCATTGGTTGGATGGACAGATGGCAGACATCCATCTCTGGCCCAGTGAGTGGTGGGGTCATTAGGTAAGAAGCGGGTGGTTAGGATCCGGGGCTTCCAATGGATGAGTAGATGGGTGGGTGGGAGCATGGACAGCTCGTTGGATGGAAGGCACACAGGCGACCCCTTGCCATCCCTCCTGCAGAGTGGCAACAAGATCGCCCTTCGGACCACGCCCCTGGAGAACACCTCCATCAAGGTGGGCCCTGCACGGAAGAATGTGACCAAGGGCCGCATGGCACGCAGGAACAAGCGCAGCCGAAGGCGGGAGACGCAGGAGCGGTGAGCGGCCCGGCTGCCGGGGAGGGTTGATGCAGGACCTGTGGCACATTTGGGCGGCCCGGGCCACTGGGGGCAGGGGTCCTGAAGAATCTGGGTTCCTAACCCCCAGGCGGAAGTCACTCTTCAAGAAGATCTCAAAACAGTCGTCCGTGCTGCACACCAGCCGCAGCTTCTCTTCCGGCCTCCACCACTCCCTGTCATCCAGCGAGAGCCTCCCGGGCTCACCCACCCACAGCCTCTCCCCCAGCCCCACCACGCCCTGCTGCAGCCCGGCTCCTGATGCCCCAACAGGTGGGTGCACCCCCAGGACTACCCTGGGAAGAACGGCCCCTTAGGGCTGCGGTGGTCAGCCCAGCGGGGGAGTGAGCAGAGTTGGGAGGCTGGAATGACCTGATGTGTGACAGCCTCAGAGGCAGTCTGGGATGGGCAGGGAAGGTTGTGCCCAGCAGAAGGAACATCATGAACAAAGGGGATCCAGACAGGAGAGATGTGAAAGCTAGAGGGAAGCTAGGGAGAGGGGATTGGGGAATGGATCAAGCCAAAGAGCTGGGCTTAAATTGGGGGGCAGTAGGGAGCCATGGAGGGTGAGCCAGAGAGGGCATGGAAAGATTGTTCTGGAGCAGGAAAGGATGGTGACTTGGCCCAGCCCTGAGGGTCCCCAGTCTGTGAGAGACAGCCAGAGATGGACACCCCTAGTCCCACTGGGTTAGCATCAGACTAGAGAGACAGTCTGGGGCAATCCACAGAGGCAGGGAAGGCCTCCTGGAGGAGAGCCACCAGGAAGCCCTCCCTGCCTCTGGGGACCCCAACTGCTGTCTCTCCCTCTGGCCTACCCTGACCTCATGGGGCTGGGGGTATCTGTGCCCTCTTTGTCGTTCTCAGATCAGGCATCCTCAGGGGCTGAGGCCTAGGGGTGGGGAGTGGACACAGGCAGAGGCAGGGCCCTTACTGGATAACTTCTAGAACCAGTGGGTGGATGGCTCATGGGATGGATAGATGGACGGTGGGCAGGTACCTTTGGCTGAATGGTTCAGTGGGTCATTTAAGTGAGAAGTGGGTGAAGAGGAGCTAGGGCTTTGATGGATGAGTAGGAGTCCACCAGATCTAAGCCAAAGGAAGAGCCTGTGCAAACAAAGGAAAAACCAGGCCTGATGGGTGGCCACAGGGAACAGTGTGGGCTTTTGGCAGTCAGTCTTAGGGCCCCACCTCGAGGCTGGCACATTGAGGCTGGTGGCCCTGACCCTCCCGTCACCCACAGACACAGTGTCTCCACCCAGCGCATCCCCAAGCTCCAGCAGCCCTGCATCTCCGGCTGCCACTGGCCACACCCGACCCAGCTCCCTGCATGGCCTGGCCACCAAGCTTGGGCCACCCCGCCCCAAAGCCGGCCGCCGCAAGTCCACCAGCAGCATCCCGCCCTCCCCGCTGGCCTGCCCACCCGTGCCAGCGCCCCCACCCCGCTCACCCTCGCCTCTGCCAGGGCACCCGCCTGCACCTGCCCGGTCCCCAAGGCTGCGCCGAGGCCAGTCGGCTGACAAGCTGGGTGCAGGTGAGCGGCTCGACGGGGAGCTGGGGCGCCGCAGCCGCGGGCCGGACTCCGAACTGGTGGTCATGCGACGGCTGCATCTGTCTGAGCGCCGAGACTCATTCAAGAAGCAGGAGGCTGTGCAGGAGGTGAGCTTTGATGAACCACCTGAGGAGGCCACTGGGCCACCCACCTTGGTGCCGCAGATTGCCGTGGAGGGCGCTGAGGCTGTGCCAGGAGCCCTTGGACCCTCTGAGAAAGACTAATCCCTCCTACCTAGCCCCTCCCTGGCCTGGAAGTCAACGCATTTTTTGTAGAATGTGTTTTACATAAATTGACACCTGGATGGAGACTGATCCACCAGCCTCTGACACCTGGAAGATGAGAAGCAATCGCGTTTCTTGCTGGAAGGTGCCTCCCTCATGTTCTGGAGCCGATCAATCAGGGGGCCATAGGGGCAGGCAAGGGAGACTAGGGTGGCATTGTAAATAGCAGCAAATCCCTGCAGCTAATTTATTACGTTTTATAAGCGCAAGCCAGACTGAGCTGCCACTGTTAAGGCGGCTGCCCAGGTCTTGTCCCATGCAGTTGGGACCCATCTGTAGACCCTGCCCCCCGGGCTGAGAAGGAAGCACTTTGGACAAGTCAACGTGTATTCGTGTTTTATGGTTTTTCTGTACTTTTAAAGTTTTTTTGTGTTACTTGATCCCATCCCTGACTCAAGACCCGCAGATTTGAAGGGATGCAGCCAAGCTTACCTGTCCAGGCCCAGTTTGGATGACTTGGAGATTCCGTAAACAATTCCTCTCCACCACAAAACAAAGTAATCTTGATGATGGACTGGATTCTGAAGGCTACTTCCTACCATCATAGCCTCCGTCCCTAGGCCAGCCATGCTAGAGTCTGCCTCCAGTCCTATAGGCTTAGGAGGTGTGGGAACTGGGGCTTTGATATATGAGTAGAAGTTCACCAGATCTAGGCAGAGGGGTCACCTGCGTCACAAGCAGATACTGATGCCCCAGAAGGCAGAGGCCTCAAAGGACACTGCCAGGGTAGGAGAAGACCTGGACAAGATTTTTTGTATTTGATGCCTACCAGGGTGAGAACTTGGCCATGATGTGTCTGAAACAGCCCCTGGGGGGTGCCCTCGATATGCCAGAGCCTTGGAGGGCTGAAATTCGAGTGAGAAAAATCCAACTGGGGGGCAGTGAGGCCCAAGTTGGAATCTTGGCTTCACTGTTTGGCTCTGGGAAAATGACTTCCCCACTCTGTGCCTCAGTTTCCTTGTGTTTACAAAACAAATCCCAATGACTATTAAGCACCTACTGTATGCCAAGCGCTTTTACTTGTGGCTTTTCCCTCAGCCAACCTTGAGAAGGCTGGAGGTGGTGTCGTCATCCCCATTTTACAGACAAATAACTAAGGCCTGGCAAGGCGTGGAGATTTGCCCCCACCATTGCCTGGAAAGAGTCATGCAGCCAGGCCCTGTCCTGGGCATTGTAGTCAAGGGAGCTGGAATGGAGAATCTGTTGTCAGATACAGCCGACTCCAGCTCCAGCTCTCTCCCCTGTAATGCTGTGTGACCCACTGGGCATCTCAGAGTCTCCATTTCCCATTCAGAGGTGACCAGCAAGATCACCATACCCCACAGTGGTGAGGGCACTTTCCAGGCACTGCAGCCCACTCTGTGTTCTCTCTGGAGACATCCGTGTAGCACTGCCTGGTGTTGGAACTAGATCAAGGCTGTGCATGACTTGCTCCCGCCTTCCATCCTGGAGCTGACGGTGAATAAAAGCCCACATTTACAAAGAAGAGGTCCAATGTCTGGATTTGTGAGGGGCCAAGAAAAGGTTAAGGGAAGAGTGGGGTGGGAGGCGGGATGAAAACAGACCCTTGGCTCGAAATCACTTGAAGTGGGTTTTATTTGTTTGTTTGGCGGTACGCGGGCCAGGCTCCGGACGCACAAGCTCAGCGGCCGTGGCTCACGGGTCCAGCCGCTCTGCGGCATGTGGGATCTTCCCAGACCGGGGCACGAACCCATGTTCCCTGCATCGGCAGGCAGACTCTCAACCACTGCGCCGCCAGAGAAGCCCTTGAAGTGGGCTTTGAAGGCTGCTGGGAATTCACTGTTGAGATTCTGCCTGATGCCTTCTCTGGTCCTGGCCTCCTGCTGCCCTCTCTGAATTGAGTACCCATCATGGTCTCTGTCCTTAGAAGCTTCATCCAGACACCCGTCTGGGGCCGTGAAGCTGTGTTAATAAATAAATAAACCATCTTTGTGTCCTTTTTTAACCGGTCTTTGCTTGGGCTGTGCCCTTAAGTTCCCCTCACCATCACTGGAACCCAGCCCAGCCCGAGCGCGTTCGGTTACTTCCGAAGCGCTCCGTAGGTCGGAAACCTTTGGCCACGCCCCCTGTTTCCGAGTGTCTTCGGCTATCTTCGAAGACACTGTGTCTTCGGAAACAGTCCGCATCTGGACAGGCGTTGGGCTAGTTCTCCCTACCCGAGAGAGTTAGTTCAGCTGTTTCCGGACGCTCTGGGCTACCACGGAAACCCCGGCTTTCAACTCCGGCTCCTTCTCGGCTCTCAGCTTGTCTCCTGAAGAGCGCAGCTTTCTGTCTGAGCCACTGCCCCCAACCCTGCCGCCTCCATTTCCTGAGTTCTGGGCCACTTCACTCGCCCTCTGGAGCGTCCATGCCTCGGCATTTTCCGGAAGCTGGTGGTCGCCCCTAGATTTAAGTTCCCAGGGCCTCATTTGGGACCGAGCACCCTTGGTTCTTTCCAGAAACTTTCCGAAGTCTCGGGGCCCAGCCTCTGTTCTGCCGGTCCAGGGTGAGCGCGCTCGGTCATTTCCGGAATCGCTCGGGCATCTCTGAGTCCAGTCGAGCCTAGCCGAGCCCAGCCTCGGAATTATTCATCTGACCCGATTATGTTCGGCAGTTTCCGGAAATGATCGGCTATCTCGGGGCGCCCCACCCCCACCCCGTTACCCTCCAGTCCCGCGGGAGTACGTTCGGCTCTTTCCGGAAGCATTCGAGCGTTCCCAGGCTCTGTCTCGGCCTCATTGCACCCTCCCGGCCCGAATACGCTCGGCCATTTCCGCCGGGGGCGGGCCCGACCGTTCGGAACATCGGCGGCGGCGGAGGTGGGGATCCCGCGGCTGCGGCGACGGCGGCCGCGGTGGAGCCACGGGTCTGGCTCGGCTCTGCGTGACGGCGGCCGCGGCAGCAGCGGTGGCGGCCGCGACCAGGTAAGTCCGCGTTGGTCCGCGTGGCAGGCCGGTCTGGGGGTTCGGTCAGATGCGGGGCGCCCAGGCAGAGTGTGGGGCCACGGTGGAAGCCAGAATGCGAGCAGGGTTGCATCGGGCCCCGCGGGAATTGGGGACCGCAGGGAGCGGGAGGCCTCTGGCTCGACCTGGCTGCGTTGCAGCCTTCCCCGGACGATGGGGCGGAACGGGGGACCGTAGGCAGAGATAAGAGGTTGGAGCTGCGGCCCTGAATTGAGGGAGGCCCTGCCGGGAGTGGGGCATCGAACAGTAATGAGGGGCGCCCAGGCATTGTGTGGGGCATAGTGGGGTGCAAGACGGTAGAGGGTCGACTCCACTTCCGGCCTCTGGGCTGGGCTGCGGGGTCCACACAGGCCCGAGTGCGCGTCTGCACACGCGTGAGCGCGCAGGCCCTGAGTCCAGCCGCCAAGACCCCAGCCAGGCCTGGCCTCTCCACCCGCCTCTTGGATTTGGGGAGCGCTGGTTCCCAGGCGCGCACACCGGGGCGTGTGCAAACGTGTGCTCATCTGGGCACGGAGGCGGGCAGGCAAGCGGATTTAGGCGGTTTCCTGGACGTCCCCCTCGCTGGGCCTCAGTTTCCCCACCTGTAGAGTGGGGGTACAGGGGCCAGGGAGCGGGTAAGTTGGGGCGTCCTGGAATGTGGAGCTTGTGCTCCCTGCTTGGACACCTATTGCTGCTCCCGTGGTCGAGGGATAAAGTCTGACCCTCTGCCTGGCACTCGAGGCCCTGCGTGGTCTGCGGCTTTCTTAAAGCCACCCTGAACTCTTGGCAAACATTTCTTGCTGTCACGTCTTTGCCTGTACTATTTCCTCTGGCCAGTGCCCCCTCCTCTCCTCTGTGAGGACCCGCCCCTAGGAAAAGCACCGCCTACCACCCCCCAACCTCTCTGGAGGACTGAACCTACAGGGCTGAGATTGAGAACGTGTCTGTGTTGGGCTGTGTCTCCCTGAGACTGGTGGCTCGTAAGGAGTGATCATTGCCCCTGCATCCAGCAGCCTCCCTCTTGGCAGTCGTAGTGCCCTCCTTCCCTCCACCCTTTACTGGCTCCATGTCTACCCTGGGGCTAAGGACCTCTTGGCCTCCCACCATCTCCCTTCTGTTTTGAGTACCTACTGTGGGCACCAAACTGAGCAATGTCTGGACACCGCCCCCCCCATTCCCTCCTCCCCTGCAGAGATCAGAGATCCATTTGTTTGGACTCACCTCTAGGCCTTTGCCTGTGCTGGGGCCTCTGCTTGGACCTCCTTTCCTACCGCCTTTTGCCCCTGGTGCCTCCTTCTGTGCTCAGCTGGCCCAGTCTCTCCTCCGGGCTCTCACAGCACTCTGAGCATCACCCATTACACCCTACCCACTCTGGGTATAACTATCTGTCACGTGGCTGCTGCCTCCTCTCATCTATCCTGGGCCTTGTGAAGTTGCACGGATCTGAGTTTTTGAGTCCTGGCATCCTGGCCCATTGAGTTGTCCAACAAAGACCTCCCTGCTCTGAGCCTCAGATTCCCCATCTCTAACAGGGATGATGAAGAGCTTGTTTACTGAGCATGCAATATGCCCGGGGCAGATTCTTTGGAGCTCTGCCCCCAAGAACCCCAAAGGAGGGCTATTGTTGTACCCATTTTACAGCTGGGTAAACTGAGGGGGCAGGGACTGGCCCCCTGTTACCCAGTGAGTCAGGGGATTCTAACCTGGTGTTTGGGCCCATCTCTGAGTTGGGGGTGGTGGCAGGAGTCCAAACTGGCTGATGCTGCCCTGCGCCTCTCCCCCTAGGTCGGCGTCCCGAGCCGAGCATGGTGACAGCCTGTGCCCTCGGCCCCCTCGCCTGGCGCAGCTGGAAGAGCCGCCAGCCTCGGGAGCCGATGGCTCCCCACGTGAGGGAGTGAGCGGCCCAGCCCAGCCCTACGGATTGAGGGGGGACGCAGCGGCTGAGTGACCTGAGATCACGCTGCTGCCGACCCCCTCCCACCAGTTGACGAATGGTGG